GGTTGATTCCTAGATATTTCATTTTTTTAGATGCTATTGTAAAAGGAATTATTTCCCGAATTTCTCTCTCAATGGGTCTATTTGTGTATAAAAAGGCTATTGTTTTTTGAGTGTTAACCTTGATAAATACAGTTTTTCAAGGTAATTTTAATTATTTTGTAGAAAATAATTTCCTTAATAGAGAAAAATAAGTGATAAAAGAATCAACTGCAAAATGACAATACTACAAATATTCTTCTTACAGGGAGTTTTTAAGAATATCTTACACTTCAATCCCACTTTTGTGAATTTATCCTACATAAAGATATGTGAGAATAACAAAACACCAACAGATGTAGAAAGACAGACTGCCATATAATTTTTTTTTTTGGTACCAGGGATCGAACTCAGGTCCTTGTGCTTGCGCAGCAGGCAGCGAGACCACTGAGCTAAATCCCCAGCCCCAGACTGCCATATAATTTGCAATGAGGAAAAAAGTAATTAACCTGGTAAGTTTATAATCATTGAAAAGAATAAAATATGAGTTGACATATAAGATCAAATTATGTTAAATGAAAAAAGGTACGGAATATAAATTGTATGATCCTGTCTATAAATTTAAATATACACACATAAATCTAAACTTATTTGTTGATACATAAATAAAAAACGAGAACAAATTAGATTACTCTTAGCACTTATGGAGGCTGAGGCAGAACAGTAGCAAGTTTGAGTCTAGGCTGCACATCTTAGTTTTGGGGGACTTTTTTTGGTTTGGTTTGGTTTTTGAATTTTTTGAATCAGGGTCTCACTACACAGTTTAAATTGGTCTTAAAGTCACTATGTAGTCCAGACTGGCCTTGAACTTTCGGCAATCCTGTCTCAGCTTCCCAAGTGCTGGGATCATAGGCGTGTGCCACCACACCCAGTGTACCCTGCACACCTTAATGAGACCATCTCTCAAAGTAAAAATTAAAAAAAAAAAAAAAATGAACTAGGGATACAGCTCAGTGGTAGAGTACCCACAAGTTAGATACTCAGTACTGCAAACAAAACAAAACCACCAAAACAAAAACAAGAGAAACTGGAACAGAAATGACATCCAGGAGAGAAGACTGGGTATTAGAAGGAAAAAGACAGTTTTAATTTTATGCCTTTAGGGGCCAGGAACTTAGCTCAGTGGTGCTGTTACCTGCCTTGCAAGTGCAAGGTCCTGAGTTCGATCCCTGGTACCACAAAAAAAAAAAAAAAAATTTTATGCCTTTAAACATTTACCACATGGGCTTATTGAAAATAAAAATGAAAAAAAAAGGAAATAAATGTTATTAGAATTGATTTTCTGTTTGCACTTTTATTCAGTGGATCTTCTATTACAATAAAGCTCAATATAGGGCCGGGGCTTTAGCTCAGTGGTTCCGCTGCCTGCCTTACAAGTGCAAGGACCCGAGTTCGAGCCCTAGTACCAAAATAAATAAATAAACAAACAAACAAACCAATGATCTCAAAGCTCAATATAGAAAAAGTATTCCACAGGTCTACATGATACCATGAACAAACACTTACCTTCTGTGTATCAATATCTTGTCTCATGGTTCCCATTTCTTTATTTATCTTTTCTTTTTGTTTGTCACATTCACTTAGTTGAGCTATTACTGTATTAAGTTCAGTTTCTTTTTGCTACAAAGAAAGAAAATTCTTGAAGCACTTGAAATAAAAATACAACCAAATAAATGATTTTAAGTTTTAAATTACCTTCTTATAGTCATCTTTTCCATCCTGAACATAATTCTCTATGTTTTTCACATAGCCATGAATATTTTTAACCTTCTCTTTGATATCATTCAGCTGTGGAAAAATATTTATTGAACTTACATTGGTCAGCCCTAGGATATTTAATAAGAGAACATAGTGAAATACTGGCTTGAAAGTTAGGATATCTTGGGTTCCAGTTTCTGCCACTACCTAATATGATCTCAGGTAAATTCCTTTATTGTCAATGGGAATGAATTAAATAGTCTCGATTCCTAACTTCTACTTTAAAATCATAAGGTAAAATATTTGAAGTTTGATCCTTATTTAATCAAAGAACTTCTAATGTCAAAATTACTTTATGAGGGCTGGGAACGTAGCTTAGTGGTAGGGTACTTGCCTAGTATGCACAAGAGTCTGAATCAATCCCCAGCACCACCAAAAAGAAAAACAAAAAAAGAATTATATCATGAATCTGAAAAACACTATCTTAAGCTATTTACTTTCATATGAAATAACAGTACAAGTTAGAGATTTGAAAAATAATGAAATCTTACTTTATCCTGTGCCATTTTGTTGCTCGCTTGTTTTTTGTTGACTAATTCTTCTTTTTCTTGTTGGAACCTTTCCAACGCTGTTTCCAAAGGGTTTACTTGCTCTTTAGCATCCTAAAAATGTACGAACACATAACATCTTATGCAATATCTCATTATGTTTTTCTTGGTTTCTGAAACAGGGTCTTGCTATGTAGTCCAGGCTGGCCTTGAACTCACTATGTAGCCAAGGCCATCCTCTAACTTGCAACAATCCTCCTGGTTCAGCCTCCCAAGTGCTGGGATTACAGGTGTGTGCCACCACGCCCAGCTAGCAATTACTTCACAATAATAAAAATACTCTGATGTTGGTGCAGCCATCCCTATTTGGAAAGGAAGGGGGACTTTCTAAGTATTGGATTATTTACCCTCATATCATCTCTACAATATGTTTACATGATAACCACTGTTCAATGATCATCAAGAACCTTAAGATTCTAAAATATCTATTGAATCTCTCTTTCTCTTTTTTTTTTGGTACCGGGGATCGAACTCAGGTCCTTGCACTTGCACTGCAGGCAGCGAAACCACTGAGCTAAATCCCCAGCCCCATATCTATTGAATCTATAAAGGTAGATACAATTATTTAGTATTGTTTCAATGTAGGTGAATTTTCTCATACTAGGATGTGACACAGTGTGGTGGGAAGCCAAACGTCTTTCAGTGTCGAGAGACCGATCTGAAAATCACCTGTCTCCTATTAGGTGTATGCACTTGGGCAACTCATGGGACATTAGTAAATTTCTTTTTCTATAAAAAGGAGATTTAGGGCCAGGGATTTAGCTCAGTGGTTCTGCCGCCTGCCTTTAAAGCGCAAGGTCCTGAGTTCGATCCCCAGTACCAAAAAAAAAAAAAAAAAAAGGAGATTTAGTCATCTCTTTCAACAGAACTATTGAGACATTAAACATTTTAATGCCTAAATGATTTATAAACAGTAAAAAAAATAATAAAATGCAGGGTAATCTATTTTATACACTAAGACTGATAATTTGCAATCCAAAATTATTTTAATAAAGAATTTACAGGAATTGATAAAGAGATTTAGTAATTTATTTGGTACTTAACGTACAAGTATAATTATGAAACCCGAGGTCAGGTTGCTGTTTCTAAAACTATTAATGAATTTAACTGGTTGAGTCTTAGATTTGATTGTTACAAAGTTTGGCAAATGCAATGTAGTACCTATGGCAACTCCATCTGCTCTGTTCCGATGAGGACTGCGAGACTATATTTGGAACTGCACAGAAACAGTGCTATGATGGAGAGTGTCTGCCATGCACAAAGCATTTGCAGCTAACACAGACCTCCCTCAGGACAAGGACTCCTTATGTAAAGTTACCCAACCACCAACTAACCACATCCAATGACATGAAGATCACTGCTTAACCAGGCAGCTGCTTCCTTGCCATGTCCAAACCTCTCCTTTCAGCAATCTACTTATTAGTGCAAATTCTGTCACTCAGAGACCACACAAAGAATTATATCATTTTCATTTGATTCTCACAATAACCACAGTCCTGGCCACTACATCAATAAAAAGGACTCCCTGTATTTCAGCTAATTAAAAAAACAAACATATATAAATGATCTTACCTTTATCTCTCTGTGTAAAGACTGAACTTCAGTGGATAATTCCACAGTTTGCTCCTCAAGCTGCTGACGACGCTGCAAATTAGTGGCTATCTGAAGTTTCTCTGATTTAAGTTCATTTGTGGTACTTTTTAAGTGTTGTATTTGTTCCTGCTGGTCCTGTATAAGCTTACGATTCAATTCAATCTTACTGGAAACTGCATGAAAACATTACTGACACAGTGATTACAGTAAATACTATCAGCATCATCCTTCCAATTTTCGTAGACCTATGGAATCCAGGAAGGCTGAATTTCTTTCAGTTCCACCAACTGCAACAAAAGTGTCACAAGAACTCCAGACTTCAAACTCCAGACTTTCTGCTTTCTGACCCTTCCTGGACACTCACAGGCAAAGTGCATGTGATACTCTTCTACCATCCCAAATTTATTGTGCAAAGCAAGAAAAAAAAAAGAGAGAGAGAAGCGATGCTTTTGAGAACAGAGAATGACTACACTATGGCTGGAGAAAGGAAAGTTCTTTTTTTCTTTTGGTACCGGGGGATCAAACTTGGGACCTTGTGCTTGCCAGGCAGGCACCAGAACCACTGAGCTAAATCCCCGGCCCAAGAAAGTTCTTTATCCATGTAACAGATATAGATTTACTGTTACAAAAAAAGGTGCTGGTGATAAGGAAGTCTTCAAGGGTACAATGAAGAAACAGATCACATTACCTGTATCTAACTTGTGTTGTTTTTCTTGTTTTTCCTTGTTTACTTGTTGAACAGTTCGATCCAAATCTATTCCCTGTAGTTTAGCTGCTTGTTGTGCAATTTTTCTTTCAACATCTTTAAGTTCCATCTTAACAACAAAATAGTTATTTCCTCTAAGAAACTTATTGTAATGTGATAAAGCAAAAGTTTTTTAAAAAATTAAATAGAATAAAAGCAAAATTATTTTTAGTAATTCAAATGAGGGTTAAGGTTAGAGGAAGAGATAGATGGAGGGGAAGGGGAAATAAAAGAAATTACGATGTGCTATGTACATGTACTAATTCCCTACAATGAATGTAATCATTATGTACTGCAAACACATACTAATAAATTTTTTAAAGTGAGACAAATGAAAGAAGTTGATTAAAAATGAAAAACATGGGCCAGGGATTTAGCTCAGTGGTTCCACCACCTGCTTCACAAGCCAAGGACTGGAGTTCGATCCCCGGTACCAAAAAAAAAAGAAAAACAGAATTATGTAATTTCCATAATTTATGAATAAAAAATGTAATCCCAGGAATATAAATGATCAGTTGCTCCTGGAGGCTATATGAATTCTAAACACAATCTGTACGTGCAAACTAGCTTAATACTCTAACGTCTCACATTCAAGTCATCATGCAACAAGTTTTTATTTAGTTAGTTAGTTAGTTAGTTCTTTTATTGGTGCATTTTAGGTATACAATTCGTTTACATTTGTCATTGGGTGTTTGTACCTGTACATGATAGATCTTGGTTCTTATTTTTTTCCCCATTACCTGTGCACCCTTCACCCCCTCTGCCCTTCCCTAATTACATAGATTTCATTTCCGTTTTTTTTTTTCTTTTCTCATAGTTTTTCCTTTCTCTCTTTTCCTTTCTCCTTCCCCTCCCTTCACTCCTTCGTCTTTGGACCTTTTTGCCTATTTCAAATTATCAATTATTCATTTTAATCATTTTATCCTTTGTTTACACTATCAGTTTCTCACACTAGTGAAACTACTCGGTATTTACACGTGTGTCCTATTTATTTCACTTAAGAGTATGGCCTCGATATGCATCCATTTAGCTACAAATGACTCTAGTTTTTCATTCTTTATGGCTGAGTAGTACTCCATTTTATAGAAACACCACATTTTCTTTATCTGGTCTCCAGTTGATGGGCAACTGGGCTGCTTCCAAGCTTTAGCTATTACAAACTGTGCCACTATGAACATGGGTGCACATCTATCACTGTGGTATGATTCTTTAATTCTTTCGGGAAGATACCCAGCAGGGGAATAGCTGGGTCAAATGGGACCTCTACTCCTAGTTCTTTGAGGTATCTCCATAATGACTTTCACAGTGGTCATGCAACAAGTTTTATTCTGCCTTAAGCTACAATAATCTTACCTGGAACCTCTCCATAATTGTAACATCTGTCAGACATACTTTCGCACTTTCTTCCTCAGGCATTATTGTACCCAAGAGTGTTTCCTGTTCTTCTATGTCATTCTTTAGGCGCTGTATGTCTCTGTTGACATTCTGCAGTTTGTTTCTTAATTCTGGTATTTCCTTCTCCTTCAAATCAATTATGTTTTGGCTTAACGGAAAACACACAATTAAAAACAATCTATCTCATATTGTTCCATAATCAGATTAAGGTTATGTATTCTTGGCAAGAATACCACAGAAGAGATGTTCCTTTTTTTGGCATAACAGTGGCTACATAATGTCACACTATCTTACTACCGGTGATGTAATCTTATTCACTTTGTTAAGATGGTGCCAGGCATATTTCTCCCTGTAAAGTTACCATTTTTTTCTTTGTAATTAAAAAATATTTTCACAAGAGACATGTTGAGAATATGTAAATATCCTGCTTCTCAAATTTCTGCTTACTTTTAGTATTCATTGGTAGAGCTTGCTTGCAATAATTGTCATTGTGGTGTTTGCCAAACTAAGAGCTATTCTACAAATTAACTGATCACATTCATCAAAAATGTCAAGGTCATAGGAGGAAAAAAATGGAAACAAAGTTTTTGTAAATAAGGAGGGGAAGAAGGAGAATGGGGAAAAAAGAATCAAGATATATTATACAGGTACAAATTCTCTATGATGAATGTGATCATTATGTATATCAAAAGTGTACTCCCCCCAAAAAAGTGTACCAATAAAATTAATTTTTTAAAATGTCAAGGTCATGAAAGACCAAAACAGACTGAAAGGGCCAGGGATTTAGCTCACTGGTTCTGATGCCTGCCTTGCAAGCACAAGGTCCCGAGTTCAATCCCCTGTACCAAAACAAAAACAAAAGTTATTCACCCTTTTTATTGTCAATATTCTAATGAATTACTGTCTCAAAGGCACATACTGGCTCCATATCTATTTTTAATTGAAACCAGTGAAGCAATAAAATTTGTATTTGAGTTTTTAAAAACTCAATTTATTTCTAAAAACTTCCAAATTCTGATTTGAAATTAGCAGAGTAAAGTGATATAATAAAGTAAATTAAGTGCTAATGGAAGTCTTAACAATAAAAAGAAAAAACCATAAACTCAAGAGTTGGCTTTTACAGTCTATGATCACCTAATGATTTTAAAAAGTACATTTATGACCAAGAGGTGCCAACCTGAACTGATCTCTACCAAAAGACCTATAATTTTTATACCACTGAAATATGACATGTAACTGGGCCTGTCTTTGTGAACTATAAGTGTACATATAATTTTAATCCATTTACACACACACACACACACACACACACACACACACCCCTACCTTTCACCAATGTGACAATGTGGTGCAGGTTTTGGTGCCTTCTTATTTGATGCTAGGTCCAAAATGCTAAAATAATTGTTCTAAGAAAAAGTAAAGAAACTTTCCTAGAGAATGAGCTACTAAGAACTATTAGGAGTCTCTGGGTTTGTTTTGGCTTTTCTCTTTTCACTTTTTATGAGATCTTATTTTTGATTTTTTTTTTTTTTTTTTTTTAGTAGTGGGGATTGAACTCAGGTCATTAGCTTGTGAGGCAGGTGGTGGAACCACTGAGCTAAATCCCTGGCCCTTATTTTTGATTTTTTAAGTTTAATTTTCTCATAGTTTATGAGCTTTTTTACATGATTTTCAATGAACAAATCACAGCTTCACATTAATGAGATGTGATGTTTTCATACATGTATACGATGTGGAATGATTAAATCAAGTGAAATAATATATGCATTACCTTGCTTACTTATCTTTTTTATGCTAAGACATTTGAAATTTATTCTCTTTGGGTTCTTCTATAAACTCAATTCGTATATTTTTGGTTAGCATTTTTTTTCCAAGGGAATTATATGTAAAAGGACTCATACAGATATAGTACTGAAACTAAATTTTAGGAGAAACAGGGAAAGTGAAATTTTATTTAAATGCAGTTCTATAATAAATAAACCCATGTCAGTACTAAACAAATTGAGGATCAAGTATATTTTCAGCTGAGATTTCATTCATAATGGCAGGCTCATATTAAGTGTTGGTTTGGGGCTTTAAATGGAAAGTATTATTTTCCCCAAAGAGGATCTGGACTATTATGGCTTGTATCTAGATGTTCCTCTAAAGCCTCATGCAGTCATAGGTGGGGCTTTTTGGAGGTAGCTGGATCTAGGGTGAGTGATGCTGGGATTAAGGGTGCCCCACCTTGGGTATGGGCAGCACCAATCAAAAGGCTACATGTAGGGGCCGAGGATTTAGCTCAGTGGTTTTGCCGCCTGCTGCGCAAGCGCAAGGACCCGAGTTCGATCCCTGGCACCAAAATAAAAAAAAGGCTACATGTAGCCTGGATGCAATAAAAGGCAGAGGTAGGCCTGCTGCTGTCTTTGCTGCTTTGCTGCCTTTTACCTGCCCTGCTTTGCCATGAACTCCTTCTCCTCTGTGATGCCCTTCTGCCATGCCATTGCTATGGTGCCAACTATGGACTGAAACCTCTACAAACTATGAGCCAAAACAACCTTTCTTCCTTTAACTTGGGTAACAGGTATTTTGTCTCAGCAACGAGAAAAGTAAGACATGGCCCTTTACCACCTCCTTAGGTTTATCTTCTACCACTTTTCTCTTAGGCCTTTGGGTCAGACATGCCTCACTGACTTCATACTGCCTGGAGTGCCCTTCAGGGCAACTGCATGGCTGGCTCCTCAGTTCTCTCAGGTTTCCACTCAAATGCTACCTTCATCTGTAACTCCCCCATCACCCTCCAGCTACTCCCCATGCCTTTATCCAACTGTGTATTTCTCCATGGCACTGATCATCACCTACACATTCTATATAGTTATTTATTAGCTGTCTTCTCCCCATCAGCAAATAATTCCATGAGGGCATGAACTTTGTCAACTTTGTTTACTGCTGTATTACCAGTGCCACAGAACAGTGTCTATTATGTAAGTAGGGGCTGAATGAATACATAGTTCTTGTTACAGATCTGCCACCAAGGGCTCATTTTCCAGTGAAAAAGAAATGTATGACAATCCTCCAGCTTAGTGATTGTCACAAATACACCTCTATAATGTCTCTGAAAGTGACACTGGAAGTGTATGACAACAGAACCAGTTGTAAGAGCTCAAAGGAAAACTTCTGATCACCTAAGTCAACACCCTCACTTTACATGGGGGAAATTAAGGCCCAGATAGGTCAAGTAACATCCCTAAGGTTGCATCAGAGCCAGAATTAGAAAATTATCAATCTGTCTAACTACTGTACACCTCTAAGCCGCTGTTTTTCCACACAGTGGGGAAAAAAAAGTCCTCTTAGTTTATAACTGCCCTTTCATTTGTGGATTTATGTGGATTTAAACTTTAAAAAAAAATGTGGAGCCAGGGATTTAGCTCAGTGGTTCCTGCACCCACCTTGCAAGGTCAAGGTCAAGAGTTCAATCCCTGGTAGCAAAAAAAAAAAGTGTAAATTTATAAATGAGAGAGACATCTCATTTTCCTAAATTCATCGTTGTAGAGTTCACCAGGATGCCGTCCTACTAGAGCCTGGTGAGGAGACGGAGGCTCACCATTGGCCTGCTCTTGTTTTCATGATGATTCTTTCAGCAGAAATAGTTCCACCATACACATGTCCTCACTTAGCAGTCCTCCCAACATCTTGGTCCACTTTCGGTGCTTCCTCCAGACGTTTCCTAGCCTTAGCTTTATTTAATATGTGGTGACCAGAATGGCATACAAGTGCTACTGTGGACCTAAGATTACTGATTAAGGCCAGCCACAAATACTGTGACTCTTCTCCTAGCAAGTGGTTAGATGTCTTCTGAGTCTTAGCACATTCTGTGACTACTCTAACCAACCGAAAGGGATAGAAGTTCCATTGTGCAGTTGCTAGACCCAGGCCCTAAGGGACTTGCTGCTTCCAATCCTGTCTCTTGGAATGCTTGCACCTGGAGGCTGCACTTGGAATCCAACCCCTCTGCTGCCAAAGAGCAAGTCACATGTGGACATCATATGAAGGCATCCTGTTTGACAGCCCCAGCACAGTTCCCAGTCAGCAGCTCTAAGTGAGCCATGAATGTTCAACAGCCAGCCCGGTGAGCCCTGAGATGACTGCAGGCAACCTTAGACGAGAGCCACCCAGGCAGCCACAGAATCATGGAAAAAAATTCACTGCTGCTGTGAGGCACTACGTTTTGAGGAGGTTTGTTATACGCAATAACAGATGCTACAGTTCTCCTTCAATTAGGAAAGTTAACAAAGTTAGAAGAACAAGGGACTGTGGAGACATGACAGCGTGAGAGTGTTTTACTCTGAGAAGGGAAGCTGTGTGGCAAGGGTCCTAGCACATAACACCATGTATCCACTCAACACAGATCTACCATTAATGGCTTCACTTTTCTTCTGTGTTCTTTCTACAAACTAAGTTTTATCTCTTATTCGATCTTTTTCAAGATATTATATTATTCTATTTCCTTTTCATTTTTGAACTACTGCTCTATCTTATCACATTCTTACTAGGGCCCCAGCTATCTCGTTTTCATTCTTGATGCTTTTGTTAGTTATCTATTGTTGTATAGCAAAATACCCTCAAGGCTAGCAGCTTAACACAAAAGCATTTATTTTGCAGATGTGAAGACTGGGAGATATGCTTCTGATGCAGGGTCTCTGACAGAAGCTGCAGTCCAGCTGTCAGCTAGGGCTGCAATAATCTCAAGGCTGACTGCTACAAAAACTTTGGTGCTAAACTCACTTTTTCAAAGGCCTCAGATCCTCCTCCTATGGGCCTCTCCATGAGGCTGCTCACAACATGGCACCTAGATTCTCCCAGACTGGATGGTGAAGGAGTCACAGTACCTTAGATAACCGAATTGTGCAGAAACTTGCTATTACTTCTGTCCTGTTTTATTGGATACTGTGGATCTTAGGTCCCCAGTAGCACTTATGTGCCATCCTCATCACCACATAGTAAGTAAACCTAAGGCAACAATACAGGAGACCACGAGGACCATGTTAGAACCTGGCTGCCTCAAAGCACATCTTAGAACTTTCCCTGAAACTCTTCCTTGGTTTTCCTAGACAGTATACTCTCTTGATTTTTCTGCTTTTAGAGATTTTTCTCACTCAAATCTACCCAATCTTTTTTTTGGGTACCAGGAATCGAACTTAGGACCTTCTGCTTGCCAGGCAGGCACAATGCCACTGAGCTAAATCCCCGGCCCTACCCAATCTTATTAATACCAAATTAATTTTCCTAAAATACACCTTTCAGTAAATCCCTTAGGAATGGTTCCTTATCAGCTGTAAGAATGAGTCATCCTTAGGCCTGAACATTATGTAACCCTATTTTCTCAACTTGAGGGAATCAATCAATCCCTACAAATAATCCCCCAAACTCCAGATAACATTTCAGCTGGGGCACACATCACTTTCCCCTTCCCGGTGCACAAACTGTTCCAGTTTCCCTTCTCCCTATCCTTTTCTTTTTTTGGCACGGGGATCAAATTCAAGACTTTGTGCTTGCAAGGCAGGCATAGGGCCAGGAAGCCACATCCCTGTCCCTCTTTTATCTGAGTTGAACCAACTTCTCTTGGATTTATATTCCCCTTCCCTCCTCATTCGCAAAATTTTTTTTTTTTCACTCTTCTTGACTCATTGGCTCTGTCTTTTTTTTTGGTACCAGGGATCCAACTTGGGTCCTTGCGCTTGCGAAGTGGGTGGCAGAACCAAGGAGCTAAATCCCCGGCCCTGGCTCTGTCTTCTTAATGCATTTTTGGAACCACTTTTGAACACTTTACTAAAACGAGCTTTTTAATTCTGAGAAGGTTTCTCTTTAATTAGCCCATCCTTGTGGTCTAATTAGCTCCTTATAGGTCATACCTTTTTTTTTTCTTCCCCAGTACGGGGGATCAAACTCAGGAACTTGCGCTTGTGAGGCAGCTGCGGTGCCAGTGAGCTAAATCCCCAGCCCTGGGTCATGTCTTAAAGATCTCCATGGCTAGCCTTGTGCTCTATGCTCTGGGAGATACCAGGGAAATCACTGTATATAAATATAGCTTAACATTTTGTTTTTGGGAGCGCTTTTAAGGACTTTAATTCTTTTGCTGGATTAAGAAAGTGAGGTATCCACAAACAGTTCTAAATCTGTCAAAATTTATGCCCTCAAGGGCCGGGGATTTAGCTCAGGGGTGCCACTGCCTGCCTTGCAAGCACAAGGTCCCGAGTTCGATCCCCAGTACCAAAAAAAAAAAAAAATGTATGCCCTCAAGCCAAGTCTGTTATACACACACAAACAAAGACTATACATATTTCCTGACTGGTTTAAGAAACAAGCTTAGCGGGCTGGGGATTTAGCTCAGTGGTGCCGCCGCCTGCCTCACAAGTGCAAGGTCTTGAGTTCCATCCCCAGTACCAAAAAAAAGAAAAAAAGAAAAAAAAAGAAACAAGCTTAGCTTGCTTTATTTGTTTTTTCTGAGACACAGCCTCACTTTGTGGTGTACGCTGGCCTTGAATTAGTGGCAATCTTCTGGCCTCATCCTCCTGGGTGCTGGGATTACAGGTGTGTGCCACCATGCCTGGCTACAAGCTTAGCTTTAAACTAAAACTATTGATTCTACTACCATGTATGTAACATGAAATAGAATATACTAATTCAGAGTATCAAAACTCTGACTTTAATTTTATTCTTTCAACATTTCCTTACCAAGTATCTATCACACTCTATGAATATCTTTTACAACACTGCTGTTGATTTACAATAATGATAAACCCCTATTCTCACCTCATGGGCACAAGCCCCAGCATTTCATCTCGACGCTTTTCTTTTTTCTTTAGCTCTAACTCTGTTGACTTGAGTTTATCAGGAGCAAGCCGCAGCTTAGATTGCAAATCACTGATGACTTCTTGTAATTCAGCCTCTGTTTGAAAAACTCTCTGACAGACAGGGCAACATGACTCGTTTTCATCTGTTAGCTGAGTAATGAACTGAGAGTAAACTGCTGTGGCTCCAGCCAGCATAGCTATTTTAGGAAAATCAATAAATCTCCAGTGAGAAAAAGGTACATCTTCTCTTAACTATATAATTGTTCCTCTTGCTTTATTAACCGATTACAAATGAAATAAAAGGTCCCTCATATTTAGATCTTCTTCCAAAGGGCATAACATATTCAGATTTGTATAAATTATTTTCTTGTAACCTGCAAAAAGTATATCTACTGAAAGCTTTCTATGGGCCAGATACTGTTCTTAGTACTTTACTTATTATCTTATTTATGCCTCTTTAATACCCTAGATCAGTACTGGCGAACCTTTTAGAGCTTTCAATGCTAATAAATACCCTGCTGCCGGCACATGTGCCATAGGTTCGCCACCACTACCCTAGGCGGAAGGTAGTTCTTCATTTTGCAGATAATGAATGTGAAACACAGAAAGGTAGCGATATACTGTCCAAAGTCACACAGCAAGTGTGTTATACAGCCATTATTAAAAGTCAAGGCATTTGGCTCCATCAAAGGTATTTAAACCTCCCATCCTTAACGGTTACCTATAAATGAAAATTCAAAGTGTCAAAGTGCCATGGTAACATGAAGTTGGTAACTTACCTCGCTGTTTTGAAGATTTTTCAATATCCTCTTTAAGCCTGTCTAAATCACTTTCAAAATCCTGGCTACCACAAACATCAAATAGCTTGTCTTCATAGTTGGACAACTGTTCTTCCTTTCTTTTTAGCTCATTACTTATATGATTTTTATTTTGCTCAGCTGAAGCTAGTTCCTTGCTAAAATAAAAACAAATGTAGATTATAATCCAAACAAATTCTTCCAACAAAGCACAAGGTTTGGTATGACCAAGTAATTTTCTAAAATTAATTGATTCACACTGGGGATCGAACCAAGGGCTTTGAACAATGCTAAGCACATACTTTACCACTTAACTACACTCCCAGTCCAAATATTTTTCTCAGAAGTCATGGCAAAAGTCCACTCCTACTTTAATGATCTCTACAGGACATGGATCACCTGCTAATCCTGGTAATGGGTCTACCCCCAGAAAAATGTACACAGGCATAGTTCTGCCTGATTTCTGGGAGTTCATGGCCTTAGATTCCAGGATAAGAGAAGAACTAGGCAGAAGAATTATTCTGAAAAATCTGCTTGAGAAAAACATGTAAATACACATATACTTCATCATACTATCCATTGTGAGTCTTGCTAAACATCTGGAACAATATAACTGATATGTAAGATGCTTTCATCATCCAGCACTTCTCATCAGTCATCAGTGCAGGTGCAGGACCTCTAGATAGCAGCAAGTGCTTTGGATGCTCTCCTTAAAGGATCATCTTCCCGAGGCACCTCAGATACTGCTCCTGCTCAGCTCTCAGCCTGGCCCCTAGGGATATCCTTGTTTCCTTCACTTGCTCCTCTCCTTTTCCATGCCTGTACTTTTTTTTCACTTGCACACATTCCTCATCTTTAATTTTACATCTTGTTATACAAAGGTACTGTTAACACACGATTCTAATTCTTTGTCAAGCAGCAAGATGACAATGCATCATAACACAGCACAGAATGCTTCCTTGAAGAAACCACATCAGTAGTATTTGGTAAATGGTTATGCATAGAACTCACCTGGAGGGTAATGTTAAACATTCCTCATACAACAAATGGGAAATGTAACTTTAATATAAGATAAAATGTCACTCTTTATGCTTTAAAACTCTGGGACATTTAAATCCAGATGATACAAGGTGCTTTAATTCTAGATTCCATAACTGAACACTATTCTGTTAGTTGCCTGAGAGTCAATAAACTATGAGGACTGCTTATGTCCATGTCTGTATTTTTAAAAGCTGGTGCTTCCCAGCAGTTTACTGTCTCTTTGCTTTGCAAAACTCTCTCAAGGTAACATGCTTATCCTAATGATGTTAAATGTCCATTACATAACAACAACTTCCAATATTCTGAACTTCAAACTTCAATATTCTATTCCCTAAAAGACCCTTCTGCAACAAATGCATATTTAACATGGTCAAAGCATAATCTATTACCTCCCTAAAAATTCGGTGTAAAATTTTTGATCCTCTTATCCAACCAGCATCTGAGAAAAATGATATTTTTAGAGACTGTTCTTTTTTTGGATTTTTTTTTTTTGGTACTGGGGATTGAACTCGGGACCTTGGTCTTATGAGGCAGACAGCAGAACCACTGAGCTAAATCTCCACCCTAAAAAATGATATTTTATAATGGGTTAATAATAGAAATGAAAAGAAAATTTCAGAATTTTAATCCTCTAAGATCTACACACTTCCAAAGGAGAGGAGAGCCCAATCAATACCAATTTACTTAACTTGCAAAGAGCAGGCCAATTAATATGACATACCATTTCATGACAATATATTATTTAAAACAATGAAAAAGAAAAGCAGAAAGGGATTTCTATTACAATGGCAATGTATCAACTACTCACTTCAATTTGGCGAGTCTATCCCTGGTCTGATTAATTTCTTTTGATTTACTATGAAGCCAATCTTCAAGCTGTTTTTTGTTAGGAAAATACCCCAAGAGTGAAGTTAACTCATCACTATGCCTAGATTTTATCTTTCTGATTTGTTCATCTTTGTCAGCCTATAGGGAAAAAACAAAAACACTTTAGAAAACCAACTCTGTATCTCCACATTGTATCAAGAGCAAAAATAAATTCCAGATTGACTAAAGTTCTTGACACAAAAATAAAACTATAAAAATGCAAGTGGGTAATTCTAAGCCTTAAAAGAAGATTAGCAAGTCTAATGATGGAAAAATTTAAAACTTCCATACATCAAAAATAAAGCAACATCAAAAAAAATAAAAAACAAACAAACAAAAAAATAAAGCAACATAGGTTGGGGATTTAGCTCAGCAGCACCATGCCTGCCTTGCAAGTGCAAGGTCCCGGGTGCAGTCCCCATTACCAAAAATAAACAAATACATAAAGCAACATGCATGTGTATTTATGTGTATGTACTTCTGCATTATTAACTTTTTATAATTAAAAAATCACTGTTAGTCACAGTGGTGCAAGCCTAGATGCTCAGGAATGAGGCAGGACAATCACTTGAGCCCAGGAGTTTGGGGATAGCCTGGGCAACAGAGCACAATCTTTGTCTCAAAAACAAGAACAACTTCGAAACTTAAAAGTCTATTTTACAGTGTTTAGCTCACTTACCTTTAATATACAAAGCAAATACCAAATTAAAACTCACTGTCAATTATTTAGGCAACATAAGCTGTTTTAAATACTTGACAGTATAATTCAAACAGAAAGCAAACTCACTTTGTCTTTAGTTAGCATCTCCATCTGGGTACGGGTTGTTGTGTGATGATTTAACTGCTCCATCTCCTGGTCCAATTTACGCAAGGTCCTGTCTAGGTCTGCTTTCTCATTCTGAAGGTTTATCACTTCTGTTTTTAGGGTTTCTATATTGCTGTTTTTCTCAGCCTTGCTTAACTCATGTTCCTAATAAAAAATTCAAACAAATGCACAGGTTAATGTATTTTGCATCAGAACTAAAATAATGAAAACTGTACTAGAAATGACTAACAATGGTCAGAATACTACTTTGCTTGTATCCAACAAGAGAAGAGACATAGGCTATGTATGCTTTAAGGAAAATCTTACTGGGTTCTAACGGTAGAAAATCAGTAAAAAAACCTAGATGGGTCTAGTTGATGTTGACTTAAATTATAAAGATGGGTTTTAAGAGAGGATTTGCCGGGGCCGGGGATTTAGCTCAGTGGTTCCACAGCCCGCCTTATAAGCACAAGGTCCCAAGTTTGATTCCCGGTACCAAAAAAAAAAAAAAGAGAGGATGTGCCAAGCTTTAAAATGCTTACTTTTGTGAAGAAAAGAGACAGACTAAAAACAAAGAAGAAAATTTAGAAATTCTTGAAAAGAAATTGACTAAGAATGTTCACCACAGCAAACAGTGATAAAAAGACAAAAACCATATAAAATTATAGTGTGTAGAGCCTAGAGGGAAAACACTTGTTTTCTTGCTCAAGTAAATGGTTCCTAACCAAGATGCCGTAACCATCGCCTGGCTCTGTTCTGCCTAGAACACACATTCCCATGCTCACTCTCGAGACGGAGGTTGGAAGGTGTAGACTTTAAAGTCCAAGCACAAGTATCTTTACAAAGTTCCTTGGCTGATTCTAATTTTCAACTCACTGGGTTCTAGAACCAAAGAGCTGGATGATTAAGATACTCAGGTAAGTTCATTTTATGTCAGATCATAGAAAAAGTAGACATTTTTATTTATAATAACCTACAGGAAACAGGGAAATAGATCCTTCGCAAATAAAGAGGCCCAACAGATGTAAGGGAGGAGGGGAAGGGGACATAAAAAGGAACTGAGATGTGTTATGTACACGTGCCAACTTCCCACGATGAATGTAATCATTATGTACTGTAAACATGTACTGATAAAAATAAAAACCTTTTTAAAACCATAATCTTATGAGTAGTAACAGATAAAATAATTCAGAATGAAAGATTTTAAATATCTTACACCTTAAGATGATGAGATTACTTAAATATCTTACAGCTTTTGTGAGCTCCTGGTCCAGTTCAAGAATCCTGTCTGAAGATCCTTCCAACTGTTGTAATTCATACTTCACACTTTTCAGCTCATTTTGCTTCTTACTTAGGATTTCTGATTTTAGCTCCATTATTCTTCCAAGTCCTGTTTTCTTATCTCTTATCTCATCTATCTGTTTTTGTTTCAGAGTTTCTTTTTCTTCAAAGTCATTCTAAATACATACATGGAAGTGTGCATTAATAATTTTTCACTACACAATTGATTAAGAAAAAGTTTCTTCACTGCAAAACTAACATTGTGAGTCAGGCATGGTGGACCACAGCTGTAATCCCAGCACCACAGGAGCTGAGGCAGTAGGATCCCAAATTTGAGCCAGCCTGAGCAACTTAGTGAGACGCAGTCTCAAATGAAAATAAAAAGGGCTGGGTATATAGCTCAGTGCAAAGGCCTTGAGTTCAAATCCCAGTACCCAAAAAAAAAAAAGTAACATTGTGTACAATGAAGAAAATACAGAAAAGTATTTTTTATAAATGTGAGAAGTGTTATCCAGAGATAATCATTAATAACTCTGAGCAAACTTTTTGTTGCAATCAGCCTTAAAAAGAAATTTTACTTAAAATAAAACTGTCTAGCCAGGCACAGTGGCACATGCCTGTAACCCCAAAAACTCTGAGGTTAGGACAGGAGGCCTGAAAACTGGAGGCTAGCCTCACAACTTAGTGAGATCCTGTCTCAAAATAAAATCAAATAAATCAAATTTAAAAGGGCTGGGTAATGTAGTACAGTGGTAGAAAGCCTGCCTAGCATGTATGAGCCACTGGGTTCAATCCCCAGGATTCCCCTACCCCCAAAAAAGGGGTCCACATTTTACTCATATTTGTATCCTTATGAACTTTTAAAAATTTGCTTCTGTAAAGTTTTTTTTACAATAGTGCAGCTTAGACTTCATCTAAAAGACAAAACAGAAAACAAAATCTGACACAAAAGAAAATAGGGAGAAAGGAAGGGACAAGAAAAAAAGTGAAAATAGAAAAACAAGGAAACAAAGCCTTTGTACATAAGGAGGGGAGGGGGGTGTGAGGGGGGGAATGGGATAAAAAAATAAAATTTATTAAGAAAAGAAAAGAAAATAGCAAACATTTATTTCAAAATATTTACCATCAGCTTCTTAGCAGTTTCTGCTTCCTGTTCTTGTCTCTCTCTCACTAGTCTGTGAAAATTTTTAATCTGTCTATCACTGAATGGTCCATGTTCAAAGCCCTCCAATTCCAGGTGTGTTGCCAATGACTGAATTAACGAATCTCTAGCTTGGATATGTTCTTGATGCCGATCTGCTTGTAGCTGTAGGCGGCCTTTAAAGAAAACAACCTAGTAATTTTTTTCAGTTGATTTCTTAAAAGCTGAAATAACGGTAAATTCAAGAAGCTGAAAAAAAAATACAGTGTGATCTCTTGATACTTAGCCCAGTTTCCTCCAATGAGAATGTTTTGCAAAACTGCATTATAATACAACAGCCAAACTACTGACATTGATATAACCCATCCATCTTATTCAAATCTCCCAATGTTACCTGTACCAATTTATATGGGTACACGTATTAGGTTTCAGATAAGTTTTCTTCACTGCCAGGTTTCATATAATTTTATCACTAGCAGTCAAGATACTGAATCATTCTACACCGTAAGAACCCTCTTGTTGCTATTTTTTAACCTTAACTATATCCTTCTTCCTCTTGCCCTTCCTCCTATCTAGTACCCTGGCAACCACAAATCTGTTCACTACTTCCTAAGTTTTTTTTTTTAAACTGGGGATCAAACTCGGGACTCTGAGCTTGCAAGGCACGTGGTGGAACCACTGAGTTAAATCCCAGGCTACTTCCTAAATTTTAATGTTTCAAAGACATTATATATATAGAAACATACCACCTATAAGCTTGAGACTGGCTTTTAAACATAAGTCCCTGGAGATTCTTCATTCAGGAAAGGTATATCATACTAAGAAAAAAGACCAAGTAAATACTTTGTCCTACCTTGTTCAACAAGTAGTTCTGACTTTTCTTGATTGAGAAGCCTAGATTCTTTATTTAATTTATCCAGTTCACGCTGACAGTCTACTAATCTCCTTTCTTTCTCCCTTACTGTTCTCTGATGATTGTGATATAAGTCATTAAGTTGCTCATCAGTACCTTGAAAAACCTGTGTGAAACAAAAATGAAATCCTTTAATGTATAAATATGAGAAGATACAATCACACTAAGTAAACAAAAAAAATATTATTCAACATCCTTCTTTTTTTTGTTTTTTTGGTACCCGGGATCGAACTCAGGACCTTGTGCCTGCGAGGCAGGCAGTGGAACCACTGAGCTAAATCCCCAGCCCAACATTCTTCTTTTTAACATACACACATAAGTAACACAAACATGAAAATGTGAGTGGCAAAACCTGTTTCTAATGAGGTCCATTATAATCATCCCAAAATTTTCAAGTAGAAGAAAACTCTATTACCACAAACCTTTTCCATTTTCTGTTCTAGTTCACTGTTATCTTTCTCCATTTGCTTTTTTCGGCTTTCCAAGGCTTTAATTTCATTATCAAGTCTCATTATTTTAGAGAGATTATGCTCAATTTCTTCTAGACGATTCTAAAAATAAAAAATTATACATAAATAAAATTTGTTGGGAGCAGTTCTACGTAATTTTGGGGGGAAATCATTTCACAATTAAATCATGATTAGGGCCTCGTTTTCCTTCCCACAGGCCAGCTATGGCATGTCGAGACATAGCTCCATCTTTGCCTTCAGTCACAGCTAAAACCTCAATGGTCCAGTGATGCTGTGATGCTCCAGGACAAGATTACACCAGCTGAAGACATCCTGGGAGGAACAAAATCTTCATCTGCGTAGTTCCTCATTGTTTCAGGATTTTTGCCACCGCTATTGCCGCTGCCCTTTGAGTCACCTTTTATACATCTGTTAATCTCCCAAGTACTGAACTCTCTGCCCTGAGTCATCTGTTACATTTGTTTCTTCTGATGGACTGAATAAAGGTGTGGCCAGCTCAGGGGCTTTCTTCTTTGCTGCCCAGAGCAGCACTAATCAGGCCCAAAGCTCAGCTTCTTCTCTACGTCTTATTTCTTCTCTTCTCTGTCTATATATTAATTAATTTGCCCTGTGCTGTCATGGCTTGAAGGAGACTAGGACTTAGTACAAAGGTTCTAGTAAGATCCCCTTTCTCTGTTCCCTACAAAAATTCACTCTAGGGCCGGGGATTTAGTTCAGTGGTTCTGCCACCTGCCTTGCAAGCAGATGGTTCTCAGTTCGATCCCCGGTACCCCCCTCAAAAAAAACCCAGTGTAAATTAGAGTGAATGGGGGGGGAGGTACCAGGGATCGAACTTGGGACCTTGTGCTTGCAAGGCAGGTGGCAGAACCAGAGCTAAATCCCCGGCTAGTTTACACTGCTGGTGGGTGAAAAGAAACAGGATCTGCAAGAGCCAGTACTCTCATTTAATGCTAACAGGACTTTAAAAGAGGCACAGAGAAAAATAACTTGCCTAAGGCCTCACAGCTAGTAGAGAAGAGCATAACTTAAATTCTTTTTGTTTTTTGGTACTGGGGCCATGTGCATGCTAGGAAAGGGCTGTACCACTGAGCTATATATACCCTTAAATTCCACTTTTGATTTCAAAGCCAATGCCCTGCCCATGATAACTCCCACAAAAGTCATTCACTCGTAGGGTACTGAGAGCTACAATATGGAAAGTACCACATTTTTAAGAACCTGATCTTTAAAAGGCCAATTATTTTTGTTTTTTGTTATTTTTTTCAGTGTTGGGGATTAAACCCAAGGCTTCACACATGCTGGGCAAGGCCTCTACTATTCAGCTATACCTTCAGCCCTAAATTATTTTTTTAAATATCACAACTGAGCCAGGTGGAAACTTATGCTGAGTTAGTAGCACATTCTGAGCCTGTAGGCAAATATGCATGAAAGATTGTATTTCAAACCTAACTGTTCTTAAGCACAGAGGCCTGTGAGGTGAAGTATAACAAATGATCTTGGCAGTTTGTTCCCAAGGCCTATTTCCATGGGTAGCTGGCTGACTCGTCTCCTAGGAATATGTGTGACCTGGTTTAGGGTCTTGTCTCCTTGCATGATGTTGGGAATACTCTCCAAGGCTGTGGCACTGATTCCAAAGCTGACCAACTATTCTAAGACAACCGTAGAACTTAATTTTTAAATACACTGCATTTTAAGATACTGAAGTGCTTAGATATCAACTACAAACCTTCACAGCTGAATCAAAATGATCATTAACTTTTATTACTAACATCTGATGAGGAGTTCTCTGCTAGATAAAATGGCTCCGGCAGCCCCACCTCCCAAATGCCTTTTCCTGGCAGATAATAAATCACTCAGGGAAACAATAACCTAACTTTCCCTCCTTGAAGCTCTCCTGCTTATAGTCCTTCCCACTGAGTTCAAACTTGCCAATGGATTTAAACCTCACCTCTGGCTGCAGCCAAACATCTACCTCCACTATGGGCCCCTCATGCCCCTTGCCCACCATATAAGAGGTCACCTAGCCAGCCCTGGCTGCTGCTCTCGTCATTGTTTGAGACAGCCCGACACCCTGTCCCCTAATAAAGGCCGAGTCTCGGGTGTTCGTGTTTTCGGCTCATTCTCATCCTCTCATTTCTGGTCCCCAAACCCAGGAAAAATATGATCACGATTTTGTGATGATCCCCTGCTGGCCAGAGTTGATTGGCCTCCCAACTGTCCTTCTCAGATGCTGGTAAGCCAACACCTGAGCAGGGGCCTTTATCCTTGCTGTTGCTGATACTCACATCCACACCGGCCTTCAATTCTTGGGTCTGTGTCTCTCTCCCTCTCTCTCTTTCTCAAAAAATCTTAGCGCTGGCCTTCCCAGGCCTGCTTGAGGGGATCCAACCCTGTCCGTGTCTCCTTCGTAAACCTCAATGACCAGTCTAGGAATGGCAACCACCTCTGTTTCAATGTGGGCCAGGAGCTCTACTTCTGTATCTACAAGGGGGCCGCAAGGCTGCTGACTTGAGTAAACCAATAGATAAAAGGATATACAAAGGAACACAGCCTACTTGTCATGACTTCAACCACCTAACAGCCACAGCAGAGTGTCTCTCTCTTAGTGGGCTTTTCTACAGGCCAAGTCTAGCTTATAGACCCAACCAAAAAAGAAACTAGCAAACTATTTAATGAGGAAAGACTAACAGACAAGGGACACGTAACCTGTGTCAAATGGGTGCCTGGCTCAGAAAGCCTTTTCCTAGTAGCCCATTCGAGTGGGAACATGTACTTGTATAATGTGGAGCACACTTGTGGCACTACAGCCCCCCCACTATCAGCTCCTGAAGCAGGGAGAGAGCTTTGCTGTGCAGAGCTGCAACAGCAAATCCATGAAGAAACCTCTTCTTAAGTGGACAGTGGGCGAGGGGGGCCTCAGCAAGTTTGCTTTCTCCCCGGATGGCAAGTTCTTGGTGTGCATGAGCCAGGACAGGTTTCTGTGGGTGTTCAACTTCAACTACATGGAGCTCCATGGTACGGTGAAAAGCTACTTTGGAGGCTTGCTGTGTGCTGGAGCCCTGACAGCAAGTACATTGTGACAGGCGGGAGGACGACTTGGTGACAGTCTGGTCCTTCATAGACTGCCGGGTGATAGTGAGAGGCCACGGGCACCAATTCTGGGTCAGTGTTGCGGCGTTTGATCCCTACACTACTAGCATAGAAGAAACCGACCCCATGGAGTTTAGCAGCAGTGATGAGGACTTCCAGGACCTTCTTCGTTTTGGCAGAGATCGAGCCAAGAGCACGCAGTCACGGCTGTCCAAGCAGAACTCTACCAAGAGCCGCCCCATCAGTGTTATCTATCGGTTTGGCTCGGTGGGCCAGGACACACAGCTGTGCTTGTGGGACCTTGCGGAAGACATCCTTTTCCCCCACCAACAGCTCTCAAGAGCAAAGACACACACCAATGTCATAAATGCCACAAGTTCTCCCACCGGAACCGATGGGAACAGTGTCACAATGCTCGGGAACTCTGTGCCCCTGCCACTGCCACAGTCCAAAAGCCTCCCCCATGCAGCTGTCTCAAACACTGGCAGCAAAAGCAGCGTCATGGATGGGGCCATTGCATCCGGGGTCAGCAAGTTCGCCACCCTCTCGCTGCACAACCGGATGGAGAGGCACCATGAGAAAGACCACAAGCAGAACCACAGCACGGGGCACATTTTCAGCAAGAGCAGTGACAAACTGAACCTCATTACCAAAACCAAAACTCTGGGGGCACTCCTGTGTCCACAGATGGAAGACGTTCCCTTGTTAGAACCGCTGATCTGTAAAAAGACAGCACACGGAAGACTGACTTAATTTTTTTGAAGACTGTATAGTCAATGCTTATCAGGAGGGATTTATTTGCACATGGGGAAGGCCTGGTAAAGTGGTTAAGTTTTAACCCTTAATGCTGCACCAGATCTAGAACTTGAATAGGCAGTGATTTCTTTTCTTGCAGGAGGGGCGGGGTGTACAATGAATGTGAATGACACTTTTTATTCTTTTTTTTTTTTTTTTTGACAGGGATGACATCCCTTCCACTTCGAGACAAATTTTTTTTTGACACTTTTTATTCTTAATGTAAATCTAAATGCATCAGAGCCATAATTTTGGATACTGCATGCCATGTAATTCCGAGTCATTTGATAATTCACCTCAGAGCATTTAAAACTATATAATCAAACTAATTGCCAGCCAAGTCTGTCACCCTCCAGGGAGCCAACAGAGCCCCAGATAGCGTCTTGTATCCGATCCTGCAGTTTAGGGAATCATGACTGTGGGGAACAATGACTTCAAATTCTGAACTTAAAATCGATGCTTTAACTGGAATATTTTTCTTAACCACTCAACTAGAATATTGTACACCTGATCAGAGAATGCGTTCAGTACAGATGGCCATTAATTGTCATTTATAGTCCAATTTTTTACCTTAATCAAAATGTTTAGTAATCTATGAAATTTAACTTAAGAACAAAGCATCGGGCAGGGTTGATGATATTATTTTCACATTTTTCTGGCAATCCACAGAAAAAGAGCCTTAATTTAAAAAACCCATTTTAGTCATTTTATGACAATTTAAATTGTTTAATAAACATCTTTTTCCAAAGGGGAAAAAAAATCTTAGTGCTAAGTCAGACAGACTCTTCTCAGCCCGTGGCCAGGACGGCTGCCCCATCCTCCTGATGAGGACACCCCATCGGCTCAAATCCTCTTGCTCACACTGTCTCTCCGGAGAGCAGAGATCGGAGATCATCAAAGGGGAGGAGGACGCTCCTCCCTCTTGCCCTTCTCCTCAGGAGCTTTTCGGATACTCACCTTACACATCTGGCCTCCCTTTACTTGGACTCGCTGATGACGTCAAGCCTAAACAGCTTCTTTCCTATTGAAGCCAGGCGTGGTCTCTATATAGATTAGATAATGGGTCCCAATGGCCAGAAAACAGAACATTTGACCCAAATGTACTTCGGGATCTCCTTACTTTCTGTTATCGCAATGGCAAATGATCTGAAGGCCCCTATGTGCAGGCTTTCATCTGCCACCACACTCACCCTTCT